TCTCTCTCTCTCTCTCTCTCTCTCTCTCTCCAGACACTGGCTCTGATTCAACTGGTTGCGTGACATGAAAAAGCAGATGGAGCTCGTGTACATGTAGCAAATAAGTACTCACCATCATAGCAGAAGAAGGGTTTTGTGTTACTGCAGTCATCGGAGCTCCATTTTCCATTTGACACAGTCATAGCACATTTCTTGTCGCCCTCATCAATAAATTAATCCGGATCCCAGGATCTGAAAGAGAAACTACTCCCATTTGACCACCTCCAGGTGTCTCTGAACAGGCCGATCCAAACAAATTTGTAAAGCTCTATCTTCTTGAATTCTTCGTCATTTAACTGTGTGGGTCCACTGATCAGGTCAGTGTGACGTTCTCTGCAGTAGCTCTGAGCCTCTAGCCATGTTTTCGATTCGTTAATCAAATGGTATTTGTTTTGATTGTTTTCTGTGGAATGAACAGAAAAACTTAAGAAATACACATTTTCATTAGTTATTTCCTCTCATAAAATCCTATATTCTCACTTTAAACATATGAATTAAACATGTGAGATAGATTAACATGATTTCACTGCAGGTTCAGATATTTAGATGAAAGTGTTTGGGATAATAAGGTGGATCACATCATTTCTTGCAGAACATAATAAAAATAAAAGTAGCCCTGATAAGGATTCATTTGTGGATTTTTTTTTTATCCCCATACCTCCAAAAAAAAGATGAAGTATATGTCCACATGGAAAACTATTGTTAGACAGGTTGATATTCTTTATACACATAACATTGTTAGCCACATATTCTCACCATCGTAGCAGATAAATGGATATCTACGATGACAGTGGTCATCGATCCATTTGTGATTCTTCATCATCACACAGTTCTCAGGATGATTTACATCATTCGGCTCACCACCAACCCATTCTGTCTCATTAGCATTGAACTCCACCCCTGGCAGAGACCAGAGCCACTTCCTGTCGACATTGCTTTGGTTGCGCAGTCCAATCCAGGCTCCACCTTGATTCCTTGCTAAGTCACTGAGTCTCTTCATATCTGTCATATCAAACACTTTGGCCAGGTCAGTGAACTCATCTCTGCAATGCGTCTGGGCTTCCTCCCAGCTCTTGTTCTGCTCAACAAAGTGGTACTCGTAGAGGCGACACAGGCAGAAGGAACACTGACCTGATAACAGAGATAATAAATGTGGTCAGTACTGGAGGAGAGAGAATAGCAAGAATGTTATAAAATGACATCATGCCCCTTCATTTAAAATGGGGCTCTGAGTGCACTTAAGCAGTGTGAGACGTACAATTGTTTTTAGCTGAAGTGATTCTAGCTAAAATAAATGAAAACAGCAGCAGATGATCCACTTACCCATCAGAATGAGCACAAACAGACTCCACTGCATGTTTGCTCTGTTAGATGAAACTGATATTTTAGTGTGCAGTGAACCAAACACAATGATTTTAACAGCTTGTCTCCATCTGTTTGTTCAGTTATAATAAAACACACGACCACTCCCTCCAGTGTACAAAGTTAAGTCTGATAAGGAAGAGGAATGGAAGGAAATATGCAAACTGTAGTCAAAACAGAACTAACAATATGCATGCAATAATGTTCTTCTTTTTATTATCCAAGGTCACTTATTTGAATAGTTTACAGATAATACAACAAACTAAAATGAATCTTTCTGTGTGAGCTTGTGATGTTCTGGTGTTTGCTTCTATTATCAGAATTATTGTCATTTTCTTCAATGTACAGGTGATACAAGCAACAAGAGGAACACCTTGTGAGATGCTGTCGGTCACGACAACGTATCAGTCAAATCAACGGACTTCTGACTCAATGTCATGAAACACTATACATTGCACTGTGAGCATTTATTCTAATTGATTGCATTTCATATTCAGGTGTTCATGTTATTGTGTCCACCACTTGTTAAAGCTAGAAAATTACGTATTTTACTGCAAAGTTGCAATTACAGTTGTGCTGTCGTTATGAATCATACCATAAAGTCTGGTCAAGTTTCTGTATTATGAGTGAACAAACCCGACTGTAAGTTATATTTAGTGTCATAGGAGGAGTAAGATATGCTGCTAATTAGTATTCACTAATACAACAATATAAAGAAATAAGCAGATTTGTTTTGTAAGTCAAATAAAAAAGTCAAAGTTTCATTCTGATTTGATGTTAGATTACGTGAAGTATGAACTGAAGAAAGACAATGTTGCACTGTCCACCTCTGCACAATAAACACTAGATTAAAATGACAGAAAACAATCGTAACTTACATCTTGTGAGTCTTCCTCTTAGACGCTTCACGCTGGTGTCTCTCCTCACGTACTGATGAAGACTCACACATCAACCAGGCAGGTGCTCTCTTTTAGCCGCCTGAACGCCAACATTTGAATATTGAAATACAGAAGTCGGAGACGTCCATTAGAGAGGAGAAAGGATCCATTGATGACAAGTCATTTACATGATGTAACAGGTAAACAGAGAGGAACACACACTTCCCTGTTGACCGTCCAACATGCAGAAAGAACGGCATCATTCCAAAGAAATCTACTCATGAGGAGAATACTTTACATTTGTGTAAACTGTTCTGAAATACACAAATATTGTTTTGCCAACAATTCTAAACCATTCTTTGGTTCTTATTCTGTTTATTTATTTATACTGGCAATGTAACCAATCCCATCATTCCACCATGATATAGAAGTCCTTTACAAGATCAGTCATTGATATGATCATGAATACGTTTTGGGCTTTTGGTGTGCAGTTTATTTTTACTAATTTATTATAAACTACTCAAACATTTAAATGTCTCTGTTTACATCATCACTGTTCATTTTTAACGCGTGTTTCACAATTATTTTCATGGTTACTGATGTTTAAAGAAAAATGCATTGTGTCAAATCCAGCTAATAAAACAGATTTCTATCAGAGATATGTACAAACAACAAAGTAGAGTAAAAGACACGTCTTAAAGGAGCATTGTGTAGGATTTAGCGACATCTAGTGGTGATGTTGCAGATTGCAGAGGGCTCATTCCAAGCAAACAAAAACACAGCGATTCTTAGTCTCAGCTTAAAGCTGGTTGTGATACTGATTATGAAGGTACTTTCAACTTGTACGATCGACTTAATACTGCCTCTGAAATGTACTACTGTAATATTGTGAAAATGTACTGATGATTGTAAGAAAACACAAAAGACTGTGCCCTAACCCTTTCCATTAATCACTGATATAATAAAGTTTTTTTAAGGATGGAGTCTTATTTCATTGATTTATCCAGGAACCAGTATTACCTGGAAATCATTTTGATCGGATGAGAATGTAAACGTAAAGCTCGTATTACCTTATTTTGCTTCTCTACCCACCTGGCAACCACCTTTCCAGGGATGGAAAGAGTACTAGAATACACGAGTACTACATATACACATGTACTTAGATGAAATGCACTCTGAGTAAACTAAACTGCATTACATTTAACCAGAGAAAGAAACAAGACTGACATGTGAG